CACTATTAAATCGGCATCAGTCCGGACTAATACAAGCAGCCACACACACACACATGTGCATGCACATCGCTACATAAGTGCAATCATCTTGGACGCGACGTTAAACCCTAATTCACCTAATCTCAGATATGCAATCTAATTTGCATACAATGGTATTGGTCAACCAATGAGATTAAGATAATTTATGAAGCGAAGTAGTCAAACTATTAACCAAATTCAATACCACAAGACTCAACCCGGAAGATTGTTGGATTGAACGCATAGGCTGAGCCTAACTACAAAGAATGTATGATACACCCTTAACTGTTTGTATGCTTAATATACAGTAATTTCCATACTTTAAGGCTGCATTTAAACCAAATCTACAACCATGCAGCATATAATTCTTACAAATCCTCTACCTTCATTACTTCATTGACATAAATCTTGTATTTTGTCTTAATCACACTAAACTAAACTTTCAGATTTTCAACAGAAGCCCTTTTCACTGTCAACTATTACAATAATTAGTTATTCTTGTATTAGCACCATTAGCCTATCCTGTGCATAAAGGTGGGAAAATGGGCATAAACAAGGTCCTACATTCTGCTCTCTTCTAGTTGTAGTCACACTATTCTCGACTGTTTAAGTAAATAGTTACTTACTTCTACTAACAGAACTAGTAGTCTTATTGGATGTTTATAATACATGAGTATTAAGTGAGTGTTGGTATCTCTTGCCACTCTTCAAAAATTACGTCATTTTGCCATAAGTGTGGCCGCTTCATAGTCACTAGCGACCTTCGTGTATCCTGTTGGAAATTCAGAGATGATACCTGCATGGAGGAAATTATTGCACACTCTACCGTCCCCTCTGTAGTGGATTTTTATAAGCTTACCGTGTCTCTCACCCTTAGCCAAGAAGAAAGTGGATGATAACGTGTCTCAACCCAACATGTTTCTTACACCACCGTGAACCCTTCAGACATCTGTACCATCTGATTCTGCCCCGGACAATGAAGATGGCTATTATGGGGTTGAGAATCCCCCTGCTGGAAGTTGGTTCTACACTTTCCTTCATGGATCTGCTGGACGCTCTCAACTATTTCATGCCTCACCGACCTCCTCGTACGGACCAGTCTATTCCCCCTTCGATCCTGGAATATGCAGATTGCCATGTCCCTGTTGCGTCTCAGATTCATCAGACTCTTCTGTGGCTAAGCTATGCACAAGGGATTATCGATCAAGCCTTGGATAATCTACACAAACTTGGGCATGATGAAAGACTCCCCTCCCTCATTTGAAGAGAAAGTTATACATGACTTGCTGTTTTCAGATTCAATGGTTTTGGATGATGACTTTCTAAAGCTGGACAAAAATCCCAATATGACATTACCTTTACCTGCTAGTCACGTCAATGATCTGTCAACTGCCAACAGGTATTGGCACATATATCAATTGGTTTGTCCACTACGTCCCTCCTTTGCATCTATCTTAGGAAGATGTCCTGGCAGATACTGCATTGTTTATCCATATGTATCAAGTGGGTCTTATCCACAGTCCCTTGGAAGCAATTGTTAAGATGCAACAGGAATTACTTGCAATGACCAACAGCTCCTATCACAGATCAGGTCTAAGGCTGTTTCTAATCAGGCCAAGAAGATGGTTATGTGCGAGGGCATCATGGCCCCCATGATATTTAATAATAAACAGATACTTGGATGGTCTTTGCATCTGATCAGGACAAGTCTCAACTGTATCAAAATTGAACCTCCTGATTCAACTCATGACTTGTCTCCGATTCATCATTCATCCGTACAATTCTGAACTCACATCTGTCCAGGACATAGTTTACATACATTAGGGCCTGCTTCCTTCTTTGCACGAGTATTCTCTGTCATCTGGGGGATCGCTTTCGTTCCTTAATCATGATCAACGACGCACTAACTCAGCTGATTTGCACGATCAGATGGTGGATGTCCTTCCTCTGAAAGTTAACCTCAACATCATGTCATGATGCATATCCCTCTCACCTACTTACCTCTAGAACATCATCTGTTCTTCAAATTTGGGTTGGGGAGCCCACATGGATGATCTCCAGATACAGGGCTCATGGACCAGGACAGAGAAGGATCTCTGAAAGGAGATGAGGGTGATCTTTTACGCGATCCAGAGTTGGAAGAATCTTCTCAATTCCTCAGTCTTTATCACAACCAACAACACCACGGTGGTGGCTTTTATACAGAAACAGGGAGGAATCAAGTCCTGTCCTCTGATGATGGAGACTTCTTGTTTTTATAGACTTGGCCGACTCTTACAATTGCCAGTTTGAAACGAGACATATTCGTGGGAAGTTGAACATCCTTGTGGACAGTCTGAATGGCCACTCCATTCGGACATCTTCACCTGGATCATGTAGATATGGGAAACTCTGATAGATCTGTTTGATACTTGCCTGAATCCTCGGCTCCCAGTTTACATCAATCCGGTACAGGATCCGAGGGCATTACAGTTTGACACTCTGTCGATGGACTGGACCAGTCTCTTCGCTTACGTTTTTCCTCATGGTCTCTCCTAGACAGTGATTCAGAAAGTAGAACTCACAGACAGTAAAATTATTCTGATTGTCCCAACTAATGGAAGATCCTCTCCCACTGCCTCTCAGCTGAGATCTTCTGTGTCAGCCCAGGTTGGACCTCTTCTACGTAAATCTTCCCAGGCTAAATCTGGAAGATAATCGCATTCCACATATCTATCTGAAATGGAACTTATCGGTGGTCTTATCAGCTCTACTAGCAGACCCCTTTAAACCCCTTGCTTCTGCTACATTGCTTCAAAACTCAAAGAAACCAGCTTTCTTGTTAGCCATTGCTACAGCAGCTAAGGTCTCTGAGTTCTATGCACCAGACTACTCGGGTCTTACTCATCCTCCTACTGTACATGACTGTAGATAAGCCGAATTTTGAGGACCAGGAAAAAGAATCTGCAGAAAGGGGATGGCTTATGTAAAAGTTACACGTTCATCAAACTCTTTTTTTGTTGGTAAAATACTACTTCATATCGCTTCAGGTGAATGAACAATGCTATAACAAACTTTGTCAATGAAAATGTGAAATTAGTGATTAAACATCACCAGACATGATAATTTACGATTTCGATGGTATTTCTTGTTATACTAGGCATTGTTTTATATGCAGGAATATAGATTACCATGTGTATTTTCTCGTAAACTAAACCGGAAATAGCAATGAGCTGTTCACACCCAATCTCCCAATCTACCAGTGATTATGTTAAACATACTTAATAATATAAAGGAAAGACTTTTGATGCCATGATACAATGATTGAAGTTATAATACAGTATATGTATCCATTCTCTGTCAACTAAGGTCCGTTTCAAGACGTCAATAGCAGTAATATGATCGTGGTTGCTGTGTCAGTTGGTGCTGTCACTGTATGTGGTAAAGCGGACCTTATGGAGCCAGCCAACTGGAAGTTGAAAGTATCAGATGGACACATGATTTTGCCCAAATTAATGTAAATATTATTGAATGAAACTTTGGGTAAAATTAATAAAATAGATTATAAACATGAGTCCAGGTATACAGTGAACACTTTTTATTACTGATAGTGTAAGGACAGGATTAACTTTGATATTCAATTCAGATGTGTTATTCTATTTCTGCTGATTTTGAATCATGACGAGACATAGTTATAGGTTGGAAGTCCGGCTTATGTAACATTTTGATACAGATTTCATGGACCATGTTAATACCTCAGCTAAATTATGATCAGCTTATCTACAGTCATATACAGTAATTGGATTTCCATCACTTTATGTTCTCTTCTGGAATTTGTGGCAAAGAACCAATTGAACAAATTGAATAAAAGGAGGTTTATAGGATTGCTGTCAACTATACAAGGAGTGTACTAGAGGCAGAACCAACCTGGTATATTCTGGCAATGGTGTAATAGAGGTAGAGGATTCGCAAGAACTATCAAAACAATAGTTGTCATTGTTAATAATTCTAAGAATACTACCTCTATTACATCAGAAATTCTCCCTCCCACCTCCCCAATCATCTTCCTTTAGTGGTTAGATGTTTTGGAATGAAGCGAGGATTGTCCCACCTTGTGCATGGAAGAGGCCTGTAAGGGTACTGGGACTATTGTGTGAATAACTAGTTGTGTGTAGATGACAGTGAAGAGGACTTCTGTTGAAAATCTGAAGATTTGTTATCGTGTGGTTGCATCCGAAATACAGGATTATGGCAATGATGTAAAAGAGGTAGAATTCTTAGAAATATTAACAATGATAACAACTGCTAATCATACAAATACCATGTGCTATCTGACTTTAAATTCTTGAAAAGGGTTCCTTTCTTGTGCCTGCATAATGCACAGAATATTGTTTTAAGTATTTTCACCTAATATCTGCAGAAATGAATGTCTTGTTATCCATTTACAGGGTGGTATCACATATTGATGTGGTGTGTGCCTACACTGGCTCTGCTCATTATGCAAGTGTTTATGGGAACAGCCCTGTTATCATTTTGGGACATGAAAGAGAGAGATATGGAGAGGGAGATTTTCTGTTTCAAAGTGAACAGGAAGTATCAAACTCTACAAGAAGCGTTCTTGCATTAGACATGTGGCTCCCAAACTTGGGTTGGTGTCATTTGACCTGTAGTTATGTCATGTCAGTGGAAATGCCTTTAGGTTCCTCATTGTTAGCTAGAGGCAATGTACTGCAAGGAGATTGTATTATAAGGTTATGGTATCACACTGGAATCGCATGATGCTATGCAATGATTTATAGGGACAGAGCTGCTACTATTTTGGCAAGTGCTTGCAAACAATTTGTCAGCTGTAGCTTACCATATATTCTGTTCAAAATAAACAAAAAACAAAAGAACATTTGGCTTTGATTTGTTCTTTATTTGCAGTGGGACTTGATTTGATTGTTCTTATCCAAAACTTAGCTGCAAACTAAGCAGTACATTTTGTTTGTTTTTTCTTTCAGAATCTACTGCAAGTTTGTGAAAGAATACCTACTATTGGCACGCAGTTGAAAATCCTATCTACTGTCAAAGCGACAATGCTTGGTGCACAAGGTTTGTTTTGTTTTAGGATAATATCCCTTTATTTCCTGCCCGACACTTTTAACCATAAGAATTTGGGTCATCAAAAGGCTTGTACTTTTGTACACCACATTAACAAGTAGATAGTATAAGTATACTGGGGGATTGTTTCAAATAATTGATATGTAAATATAAGTACATTCACTGGTTCACCTGCGATTCTTGACTTTTTCAGTGGTCAAAGTGTCAAGTGAATCACTTGCATTTGTGAGTCAAATTTGAGAAAGATTTAGTATCGCTTAGTATTTGGGGAGTGTTAATGTCCCATTTATTAAAATGATTAGCACTTACTTTTGTCATTAAAGTCATCTTAACTGTGGTTCTGCTCTATCAAATAGATGGCAACAAATAATAAATATTGTGAGGAGATTTTGACTAGTTGCTGTACGATAAATCTAGAAATATAGGAAATAATTAAGTAGTTATCATTGTTAGTAATTCAAAGAATACTTCCTCTTTTTTCATCAGGAGTTATCCCACCCACCTCCTAAATATTCTACATCTTGTTGGATTATGTTGGAAGTAAGTGACATTTTCCCAATCTGTCACAATTTTTTTAAGCGCTAAAGGCTTAGGAAGGGAGATATTATAGTGTTGCAAATCTGAAGATTTTTACTGTGTGATGACATGAAATACAGGATTTCTGGCTATGATGTAATAGAAGGTAGTATTCTTTAAATTATTAATAATGATAACTATTCTATGATTTATTGTCCTTAGTGTTTATGCAGTTATATATGAATATCAAGACTGACAGCATCTTTTATTAAGTGGCTGTCTTTGTTGACATTTTTAAGTGTTTACTGGCACTATTTTTCCAAATGTTTTGTTTTTTGGAACATGTAAAATTAGTAGTGGGGCTAAACACATACATTGTTTTTCTTCACAGTATGTAAATTTTGACCTTTAGTTGACCTTTTCACTTTGACCATGCTCTTCAATTCTATCAAACGCATTCCTGGCACTGTAAACATCATCTCTAAGAAACCACGGTACCAATCACACTGAAACATCTCATGCTTGTTCCAACCAATGATGACCCCCAAATTTGTTCAAAATGTTCGATTAACATTAAGGCCTTGTACACTCATATTGAAATATCTATTTATGGCCATTACTCTTCCATTTTTGTACAAAATGTAATGAAATTTGATGTTTGTTTAGTTAGCTGTGGGATTCATGACATGTTCGATATTTGCAAAATTGAAAATTTGACCTTGTTTTGACCATGCTCTTAAATGTTCTCAAAATGCCTGTCTGGCTCTGAACACTGAACACTTCTTCTTCCTCATGAACATCATCATCATCATCATACATGCCAAAAGTTCAGCTCCCTCAGACTGGCCTCACCTTGTCTGCTTTGTCCACCGGTACCATGCACTTCAAGCCCAATGGTGGGCTTGCCTCCATGAACCCCCATCATATATTGGAGTCAGTGTTCTCCCCACACATGGCCAATGTTTTGATTTTTACCTAGGCCATCACGTTAGGTGTACACGTCTATTGCAGCCATTGGCAACTGAACTAGGTCCAGACTCCTTCTTAGAGGAAAGGATAGCATTCATTAGTTCACCCAGAAACTCCAAGTTGATTATTTCAAGAGAAAATACACATTCCTTTGCAATGTGCTCAGATATATCTAAAGTAGGAATTCTGAAAACTGTCACAGCAAGGTAAAAGACATGTGTTGTTTTATATCAGTCAAAATGTGCTGACATATTACATGCCGAGCAGGGATGTGCACAATTACTTTGAATATATTTAAGGAATGGGAAAATATGGTTAGTTTTTATAGGATTGCTATATGTTGGAATATGCAGGGTGACATGAGCCATCCATCTCTGCACAGGTGCTCTACAGTCTACTTTGGCCGTGTTTACCAGCTGTGTGGAGGGTGTATGCATTATTCATGCCGTAATGAGTTTTGATAGTTTTTTTCCCAATTCAAAGACTTTGCTGTGAGCACATAACACTGGAAATACCATGTCAACAAATCAGTACTGAAGTACAGGATTAATCATTTAATTACACTGTCTGGTTATAAAAAGTGTTCATTGTATACCTGGACTTTTGTTTTGAACCTGTTTCATTAAAAGTCATATTTGTTGCAGTTTGCCTATTATATGTCAACATTATGTTTTCGTCATCGCGACCATGGGAGCCTTGACAGTGACTGGTCAAATTGTTCCATATAAAAAAAATATCTGGCAATAGCGATCAGCTGTACTGAAGTGTGACGCTGATGGTTATTATTAGTTTAGATATATTTAGTAAAGCTGCAACACAAAATAACACGATTGTGGTTCATATTGTTCCTCATAAAATAATAGTTTCAAATACAATTCTTCCAATCGTTATATTATTTGGTAAATTTTAACTAGATTGATTTTGAAAAAACATGTGTACAGCTGATTGCTTTTTCCAGCATCTTTTATGAGAAAATACACATCATAATTTGTAATCTCTGCATATGAAACAGGCAGCACAGGAAATACAATTGAAACAGTAAATCATCATGTCTAGTGATTTTTTTTATCTCAATTTCAATTTGTATTAATCAAGATTGTTATCACCTGTTCGTTTACCCAATGGCTGAAGGGATACAATGTAATTTTTTTCTGCGCATAATACTCGAAGAGGGGGATTCACATTATACTTGGTTGCACACTATACTCAAGAAAATATGGTACCACTTCCCCCAATTGAATTGCTGAACGTACCACTCTCATGAATGCCTTCTCCCAGACCCTCCCTGTGTCGATGAGGACTTCTTCAGACTTCTCAAGTCACAGATATGGGTTCGATCAACCGACATGCTATGAGTACCCTGGAATACAAACATAAATTTTTGCTGGGATTCCAGGATTGACTCTGTCTACCACCAATACAGACGAGCAGCCATTATAAAATGCAGAAAGAGTTATACACCACCCAAATGTGGATGTTTAGCCAATTCATATGGATGCAAAGACAACATCTTTTCTCGGAAGTTCGTACATGGGCAGTATAAGAGCAAACCTGTCACAGCATCTCCATCAATCTCATTACAAGCGACGGGGAGGCCACAGAGGGAACAAACCTGAAGGAAGAGGGGATAGCCACTACTGACCTACCAGAAATCCATCTAAGGCAAGGACAAGTGGGATGGGACGTTTTGTGACATGCATGGGAAATTGAAAACATGTTATGTCCGACAACTGGATTCTTCAGGTCTTTCATGAAAGTAGAAGACAGTGGATTACGGCTCTGATCATCAGCTTTGATCACATCCATCAATGCAGCTCTATGAATACATCAATAACTTTGTGTCGGTCAATGAGGACAAGACTATGTTGGCACCTGATTCCAGCTTCACAGGGGAATTATGTGTCCACCAGCGTATCATTCCTTCAGGTTGCTGTGGACTCTTCACTGGTGGATGTCTTTTCTGGGAAGTATGACGTCCCTACATGACATGATTTACCAGGGTAGGCTTCACCTTTTTTCCATTCAATGTGGCTTGAACTCAGTATGGACGTCAACATTCAACTGGTTTTTCCAACACCTGAACACCACCTGTTCACGATGCTTCCAACTCGGGTTAGGGAACTCATATGGACATTCTAATGATACAAGGTCTATGGCAAACTCACATAAAAAGACCTTCACATCAATTGCCTCGAGATGAGATGCACTTAACGCATGGAAGAAATTATCCCGATCCTTGATCATTGTAGTCACAGACAACACCACACTGGTTGCATACATCGAGAAATGAGAAAGAGCCAAGTCGAGTTTTTTGTTGAGCAACATGTTTATTTGCCTTGGTAGACTTGATCAATTGCAGGATGAAAGCCTGCCACATCCCCGAAAGCTCAACATCTTGGCGGACAGGTTATCATCTCCATCAATATGTACTTCATTGGATAACATTGGTGTGGGACACATCTTATCTGGACTTGTTCACCACATGCCATCAGCAAGTTTCCAGTGCATGTTTTCCAGTGCCTCATCCCCAAACTGTACAATTAAACATGTTGTCCACGGTTTGGACGAACCCTTCAGACTACTCCAACCCAGATCTGACATCATTTTTGGCAGCCTACACACCCTTCACCTTCTCACTTGGAAGTTATCACCCACAGAGGTCATCAGCGTCAGTTGCTAGATCTTGTTTCTCATCAACCATCAAAACAGCAGATGGAACAGATTCTCTCAGTGGCATAAAGGACAAGGAGTGAAGGTGGGACCTATAGGTGTACCTACTTGGGCAGTTTCCCTTCTTCACCTTCGCCAGGATGGTAAGTGCAGCCACAGCACCATTAAAGGATAACACTTTGCCCTAACATCCATTTCCAGCACAATGGGCTATCCTGAAGACATTTAGAATCTATGCACATTCTGAAGTCCAACTGATCGGTTGTTTTGTCTGCTCTTTTGGAAAAGCTGTTTGACCCTTTAGTTTCTGGTACTTTGTTACCTAAGACCAAGATGACAGCATTCCCATTAACCATGACCACCGCAGCCACAGTCACTGAATTTGATGGCCTCGACTTCTCCAGATTCACTCATGCAGAAGATTGGTGTTTCATTACCATCAGAACCCTACCAGAGTTTGTGGCAAAGAACGAGCCTACAGTCCTGAGACAGTTAGCACATATACAATACACGTTTCTTGCCCTTGACAAAGACTTGAATCCCCTGTGTCAGCATCTCTGCCCTGTGTGGACTGTCCAATTCTACTTAGCAGCAACACAACTGCTTAAAAAATACAGAAAACGTCTGTTTATATCCTTCAAATAAGCTTTGGAGGAATGCATAATTAACAGGGTCTCCCAAATTGCTCATTTTAGAGAAAAAGACAAAAACTGGTTGGAAATAACGGAGTTTGGGGTCAGATTTCTTGCTCTAAGGTATGTAAGGCTGTTAACTATCGAGGGTATTACTAGATATCATTACCCCTTGAGATTAATCTGGAAATGATGTAATAAAGGTTTTTGTACTTTTAGAAATTAGCAAACAATAGCCATCATTGTAAATAATTCAAAGAATATTATCACTATTATATCAGGAGTATCTGTTGAAAGTCTGTTGATTTTATTGTGTGATAATAGCCAAAATACGAGATTTAGGCACTGATGCAATAGAGGTACAGTAGAACACGGATATAGCGAACAAACGGATACAACGAACTGTTAAAAAATCCCCGATTTATCTCCTATATAATATCATACAAAATTTACGTATATAACGAACTCTCTACAGCGAACTCACGGATACAGCGAACTGATATCTGATCACCGACAAGCCCATCTATCACTAATTAGTGACGTGTATAGCAAACTGAGAAATCTCACTCAGTGTCAAGTGTCACTGACAATTGGCTGTACGCAATCAGTGGTGAATCAACACAATGGCGGCGAATCAATACAATCAGCGGTGACGGATCAACCTTGTTGTCCCCCGCCGCGCGAAAGCGCGAAGCGGGGGATATAGTATTCATGACCGTCCGTACGTCCCTCCTGTTTGTTGCCGCGATATCTCAAGAACTAAACACTGGATTTTCTTCATATTTGGAACTATGGTGTATATACAGACTCCGCAGACACCAGTCGGTTTTGGTGACCTTGACCCCATTTTCAAGGTCACAGCAGGCATATCTGCTTTTGGAGTTGGAAAACGGTGTTGCCGCGATATCTCAAGAACTAATCACAGGATTGTCTTCCTATTTGGTACTAGGGTGTATATACGGACTCCGCAGACACCAGTCGGTTTTGGTGACCTTGAGCCGATTTTCAAGGTCACAGCAGGTAAATCTGCTTTTGGAGTTGGAAAACGGTGTTGCCGCGATATCTCAAGAACTAATCGCAGGATTGTCTTCATGTTTGGAACTATGGTGTATATACAGACATCGCAGACACCAGTCGGTTTTGGTGACCTTGACCCCATTTTCAAGGTCACAGCAGGCAAATCTGCTTTTGGAGTTGGAAAACAGTGTTGCCGCGATATCTCAAGAACTAAACACTGGATTGTTTTCATATTTGGAACTATGGTGTATATACAGACTTCGCAGACACCAGTCGGTTTTGGTGACCTTGACCCCATTTTCAAGGTCACAGCAGGTAAATCTGCTTTTGGAGTTGGAAAACGGTGTTGCCGCGATATCTCAAGAACTAATCGCAGGATTGTCTTCATGTTTGGAACTATGGTGTATATACAGACACCGCAGACACCAGTCGGTTTTGGTGACCTTGACCCCATTTTCAAGGTCACAGCAGGCAAATCTGCTTTTGGAGTTTGAAAACAGAGTTGCCGCGATATCTCAAGAACTAAACACTGGATTGTTTTCATATTTGGAACTATGGTGTATATACAGACTCCGCAGACACCGGTCGGTTTTGGTTACCTTGACCCCATTTTCAAGGTCACAGCAGGCAAATCTGCTTTTGGAGTTTGAAAACAGAGTTGCCGCGATATCTCAAGAACTAATCGCTGGATTGTTTTCATATTTGGTATTTTGGTGTATATACAGGCGGGGGACAATTCGTCACTTCTGTGACAAATACTTGTTTAATTTGCATTGTGTTAATCTCACCTGTACATGTAATCTTGTCTGTAAAACAAACATTAAACATAAAAAAATTACGAGATTGTGTCCAAGTGTCAGATCACTTGCATATGCTATCATGGCGGGCAATAGTAAGAGGAAAGCTATCAGTTTAGACACAAAATTGAGAATTATTAATGCTGTTGATCCAAGGTGGCGGATGTTTCCGAGTGAAAACGTTTATAACGAACAACGGATATAACGAACTGATTTCTCTGGTCCCTTGTAGTTTGTTATATCCGTGTTCTACTGTAGTAGTATTTGAATTATTAACAATGATAACTACTTTCTGCTGTTAGTTACTTTGAATGACCAAGAATATCATGCAAATATTACTTTTGACTATTCAGAGCCTATTCCTGCTCCTGATGGAAGTGAAATAGCCTGTGGTAAATTTCTTCACATTTGCATGTACATCTACTAACTGAGTAACACCTGATTTGCTGTGAGGACTTACATGTAATTTATGATGTTAGGAATACCATTTAGATGGCCATGTCTAAATTAATCATTAATATGTCACCTGCATGTCATTAATAGTGTTATATGTCTGTGTTGTTTCAAATAGATGAAAAATGCAATAGGTAAACAGGTATTGTGGTACACATTCCTAAGTAAATCATACAGTTACAATGAAAGTCATTACATCTGATCCAGAGTGTGTCATGTAGTACAGGTTAGTGGCATCATGGTATGTACAGATAAGTTTTCTTTATTGAATATTTGTAGTCTATGTGTAAAATCAAATGATGAACTTTCTAATTTTTCACAGTATCGTGGTGATTTGAGGCATATCTTCAATTTCAGCATTTCATGAAAACCAGATGAAGTTTTAGTACATGATTTCAAGTATTAAGTGACAAAGGGGGGCACTTACTTAAAACATCCACAAGTTAAATTTGTTTTCAGTGTTCATGTGGTAGTGAACAACCTAAGTTGTCGATGAAACCAAAACTTTCTACGCTGCTGTTTTCTGTTTAAAAACTTTAAAGATATTCTGTTCTATTCTAAAGAAACTGTGGACTCTCATGTTAATTTTCTGTCTTAAGAGAGGGTCCTATAAAGATTACTCACAGAGTGATCTAGAAGTTGGTCATGGGGTACTTATTAAATCAGGGTGCTTAATACAGCAAATGCAGTACATTAATTTAACACCTGAAGGTGCACTGCTTTGGCCCATAATTGCAGTATTTGTGTATTAATATGTGAACAGTGCATCTGTTTTAATATTTATGAACCATAACATTACAGTGGTCATATTATTCAACATTTATTTAAATATAGTTAAATTTCATTTTCAGTAAAATTGTGTGGGAATGATTGGTAGATGCCACCCAATCATGGTTACTGACAGTTACTCTGACCAGATTAAGGTGTGGGAATATCCCACCCAATCATGGTTACTGACAGTTACACTGACCAGATTAAGGTGTGGGAACTGATTGGTAGATCCCACCCAATCATGGTTACTGACAGTTACACTGACCAGATTAAGGTGTGGGAACTGATTGGTAGATCCCACCCAATCATGGTTACAACAACAACAAACGTTTATATCGCTTCAAGGTCATAGCTATGACTTATTGAAGGTACAAATGGAGATTTATGGTGACACGAGGCATAAGACAGACGTGCGTTAACTATACGTTTAACTGCAACAGACTCATAAATCTCTTTCAGATTAAATCCTCCTTGGGGCACCTATTGTACTTTCCTTGCTCAAGAAAATCTACATGACATAGTTGTAACCATTTTCCTTAATAAAAAATGTTACCACACAAAAAACTTCGTTTTTGTATGATATACGACCACCCTTATGGGGCCTCACACTCCACGGCGCGTCACGCCAGGGGGAGCAACTCTCACCCAAATCACTTTCCTTATGTCATCTGTAAGAGACAGACGTGCTGATTATTCACACAAGACAGAAATAAGAGAATCTATCGTTGGACAAGAACCATGGCTGACCAAACTGTATGTATGGTACATTTCTTTTATTGCAAAGGCGTAATACCTCGCATTGTAAAGTTGTAGAGTTGTAATTATACGCCACGTGTACGGTACATTTGAATTCAAATGGCCGTAATGGCTTCCATATTGTAGTTCCATGGTCTGATACATGTAACACCAAGGCCATTAGAAACGGCTTGGGGTTTTGTTATATCATACAGCATTGGACTACAGTTTTTTCCTTTACATAAACCCAAGGTGGTGCGTTAATTTATAACTACACTTACCTTTTTTACGGGTTTTACACCTTAGCGCGTAACACGCCCCTTTGGTGTTATAATTATACTACGACATTGGCTATTACTATCGCGTTACATTACGCCTTTGCTTCTAGTTTCACAATTTATGGATGTATCTTTCTGATGTTTATATCGCACTGATACACTTCAATTCCCTTCCCGCCCACCTCAGAAATTACAGTCTTTTTTACATACCTTCAAACTGTGTACGGGGTGTTCTGCTACCATTCCCCCCCAAGACCGGCTGCCTTTTCGCGGGGCCGGGAACCCATCGGGTTCCTATTAGCGCCCGAAGAGCCCCGGGTGGACCCACAATCGCAAGTTATCAAACTGCCGACAGCCGGGGTCTTCTGCCTCAAGCGGGATGTCCCCATAGGCGACTGACTGGCTCTATTCCGGAAGGAATGGGAGACAGTTACATCTAATCCCTGGACCCTGTCCACTCTAAGGGATGGCCATTTGCCTCGGTGGAAACATCATCCACCCCCCTTCTCCGGGATAAAGCACACTCCGGTGCCTGCTACCCGAGAGAAGGCAGAATTCCTCCGTGCCGAGGTCGACGCACTTCTTATGAAAGCTGCGATCGAACCGGTTCCCGAGGGACAGGAAAGCGAGGGCTTCTACTCGACATTTTTCCTAGTCACCAAAAAAGACGGAGGGTTCAGGCCTATTCTCAATCTGAGAAGGCTGAACAAACTTATAGAGGTACCGTCCTTCAGGATGGAGACACTGCGCTCAGTGATCTCAGCTGTTGAGACAGGAGAATGGCTAATGTCAATAGACCTAAAAGACGCCTATCTACACGTACCCATTCACCCCGAGTTCAAGAAACACCTGAGGTTTTCTTTCAACGGGAGGTGTTATCAGTTCAGGGTTCTACCATTCGGGATCTCCACGGCCCCGAGGGTGTTCACCAAGCTGATGTTGATTCCTGCCCAAGTGGCGAAGGTCGAAAGGTCGGTTCTGCCATCCGTACCTTGACGACTGGTTACTAAGAGCTCTATCGCAATCCCTGAGTCCGATAGCTACACATTCTGATCACTCTAGGGTGGATAGTCAATCTCAAGAAGTCAGATCTGAGCCCTACTCAGAATCTAGTCTTCCTAGGGGCAAATTTCAACACGGTGAGCGGACTTGTATCTCTGTCACAAGATCGCATAGTCAAGGTCAGAAGTGTTACCCTCAGTTCCTTCTGTCCACAAGACACACTGCTTGTACATGGCTCCAGTTACTGGGCAACATGGCGGCGACAGTGGATGTGGTTTGGCCCATTCAACAAGCGCTCCGTCGACTTTGGGTGAACTCGGAAGATCTCGAGACGGTTCTCGAGACTCCGCAGTGGCTCATTACACACCTTCAGTGGTGGACCGAGGTCGGGAATCTGTCCCAGGGGCTCCCCCTCGACACTCCCGATCCGTCTCTCACACTTCAAACAGACGCGTCACTCTCCGGCTGGGGAGGCATTCTGAACGATCACACTGCCTCGGGACTATGGTCCCAGCAGGAGATCAAACTGCATATCAATGTGCTAGAACTGAGAGGGGTCAGGTTGGTGTTCCAAAGCTTCCTGGATCTGCTTCGTGGCCAAGTGGTTCGTCTAGAGACTTACATCCGGAAGCAGGGGGGAACGGTGCCTCCGTCCCTTCTCCAAGAGACGTTGCAGTTCCTACTATGGTGCGACACTCCCGATATCAGGGTGCTACCTGTTTATCTCCCGGGGGTGGACAATGTCCGTGCGGACGGTCTATCTCGCCGGATCCTCGCTCCTCACGAGTGGAGGCTCGACCCGGGGATATTCGGGATTATCTCCCTGTTATATGGGTCGTTCCAGGTGGATCTGTTTGCGTCTGGGGTGAATCACCAGACACCAACGTTCTGCTCCCGAGTCCCCGACCCAAGGTCGGTGGCACCGGACGCCTTCCAGCTAGATTTGACGGACAGAGTTCTGTGGGCATTCCCCCCAGTACCTCTGATTTCCAAGGTCCTGTCTCAGCTAGCCACTCAGCCTGCACGACTCCTTCTGATCCTGGCACCTCTTTGGACGGCGCAGATTTGTGGTTTCCAGTAATACTCAGGTTTTTGACTCAGCCTCCTGTTCTATTACCTTTACAACCGGACCTCCTATCCCCGAATGGGGCACTCCACCCAAATCCCAGGATTCAGTGGGTGGCTTGGCCACTGTCAGGAATCGCCTCCAGAAGAGCGGTATTCCTGCACGAGTTGCAGACACAATATAATACTGGCTTCGTGGAGGGACAAACGTTCAGTACGAGGATAAATGGGCCTGCTATGCGCGCTGGTGTGTCGATAGAGGGATTGCAGATCCCTTTTTTTGCAGATCTCGTAGCCGTGCTTGAGTTCCTCCAGTCGTGACTAGATGACGGCCTGGCCGCATCGACAGTTCGGGGGTACTCTACAGCTATTGCAGCTTTTCACGTCCCTGTCGACGGGGCACTTCTGGGTGCACACCCATTAGTGCAGGACTTTTTAGCAGGTGTGGACAGGATCCGACCGCCTGTCCGGCAGATCAGTCCCCCTTGGGACTTGTCAATGGTTCTTAATTGGCTGTCCGGTCTTTCCTTTCAGGATCTGTTGTCTATCTCTCTGCAGCTGTTGAGCTGGAAGACAGCGTTCCTTGTGGCGGTAACGTCTGGCAGACGGGTAGGCGACATTCATGCAATGTCAGCCGATCCCGAACTAACCGTCTTCCACCGGAACAGGGTCAGTATTCGGCTGCCGGACTCTTACCGTCCTAAGGTCGCACATGCCTTCCACGTGATGGCTTCTATTGAGCTACCTGCTCTTTCACAGCCTTCCTCGTCGTGGACCACTGCAAGACATGCTCATGTCTTGGATGTCCACAGGACCCTCAAGGCCTATATCAGCAGAACTAAGGGTATCCGTAAGGATAACCAACTATTTTGCTGTTATGGCGGTAGGAAGGCTGGCTCACCTGTGAGCAAACAAACAATCTTGAGGTGGATAGTGTCAACTATTTGTACTGCGTACACGCTTCAAGGCAGGGACCCCCCTACCTGGTTGAAGGCTCATTCGATGAGAGCAGTGGCTTCGTCACAAGCGTACGCCGCAGCTCTGCCCATTGAGGAGATCTGCTCCGCGGCTATTTGGAGCCAGCCGAG